AAAGAGTATAACAAAATCTGTAACAGGTCCAATATTTAGTCAATTAAAATCTAGAAAACACCAGCATGTACCAACACCTGAGACTAACACAACACTTCAGCAAACCAGAGTGCTTGCAACAGTGTACATCCTAACAGTGTCCACATCCTAGCTGTCGTCACTGCTCAGAGTAAGTCTCTTAATTAGTAGAGCTTGTATCTGCTCATTTTCTACTGCCACGTGATTTGCAGAAATCACAGGTATTGTGGCAGCATCACAACAACCAGTCTTGCAAGCACAGTTCTATAGTGCTCCTGATACCCATATAGGGATAAGACCATGCAGCGTCCCCTGTGGTCCTGACTAATTTCCTGGAAGCTGGAGAAGTCTTTTGTACACAGTATGCATATGGAGTTTTAGGATTAGGTTCAATATAGCAGTGAAACATCTCATTTCAGGATATAAAAGCTGTGTAGAAGATAGATACCGTTTAATTTTATTAAATGCTTGCAAATTAGTAGATACCGTAGAAAATATTCTTAAAGTCCCCTCAAACAATAAATTGCTATTCTCATATACACTTTCTTAAGGAGCCTGGAAGAAGAACCAACAGTGCACTTACACTGCACTGGTTTTCTAAAGTTGAAATTTTAAGAAAGCAAATAAATGAATTGTGTATTTTTGTATGTTCTGAGTTGGTTTGGTTAGTGATTCTAGCATTTGCATGAATCAAGACTGCAGAAAATGGTCTATAATTTTGATGAATTACTGATGTTATTCCTGTCCAATTTCTCTCCTCAGTGTTGCTAGTAACAATCCTTGTAGTGGAAGGGATTGCCGTTGCACAGAAGACACAAGGTACTATTTTGGTTTGATGATTTTATTTCCAAAAATGTAACAGTTTTATAATTTTTAATTAAGCAATAGAAGTGAAAGAAAGTATTTGTGTTCAGGTGTTAATAGCTCTCGAATTACCAAAATGAATTCCAGTAGTTTCCATCTTCCCCCTGTTTACTGCATTTTTTTCCAACTGAACAAAGCCATCCAGTCACAAAGAACATGGATGTTCACTTACCCAGTTAAAATTCTATGGTTTTAAACCTTAGAGGTGGGAAAAAAACACAACGGAAATTCATGTTTTCTGTATCTGACAACAAGCTTTTCAAATAGTCCACCCACAAACATTTTTGAAGCCTGCTGAGTGGGGAAGGCATCAGTTTCGCAAACCTTATTTTCTCACATGTGGGATTAACCCACACATAGGAGAGAAGAATTCCTTGAACTGACACCTACAGAATTTCCTTGAACAATTTCTGCAGAAGAGACTAAGTTTTCACCCCCATAAATCAAAAAGCTGCCAAGATACCAGCAGAAGGTGATGTAATTTACTGGAAGCAGCTAAGACCTGTATCAGCATGGAGTCCCTCTCAAAGGTCTGCAAAGAAAAACTGCATAGATATAAATAACATTATGAGAGCAACTTGTGAGATTTAGGAAGAATCTAGCAGAAACCACATATCCTGTGTCTTATTCGCTCCATTTCTGTGGATATCAAGGAAAAGGGTCAAAGGTACTTAAGGAGAAGGGTCAAAGGTACTTAAGAAGAATGTCAGAGAGATCGTACTATTCCCAACTCCTTTCTCCTTGGATAAGGAAATCTGAAGTAACAAAGCTCCTGCAAATGGTCTAGCGTGGTGCACTAGCTCAGTAAAATGCGTAATCTCAGTCAAGGCTCATATTTCCCTGTATACCCAGAAGAAGACCTTTGATCTTAAATGAGACTCTTAGCTACCAGTGCAGTCTACCTATTGCTAGTAATTTTATTAACTACCATTGCTGTATTTAATGTATTTACATATTCTAATTCATTCTGTTATATGCATTCTGTATTCCAACAAATTATTGTAAATAGATATTCAGTCTAAGGGCCATGTACTTCAGTATACTCTGGAATCCGGGCTAAAAATAGTAAAGGCTAACAAATATTTTGGATTATATTTGCATAGGATTGGAGAAGGCATAAGCCATAAAATAATGCTGCTGTACTGGCAGCCACTGTGACTATTTGTCCTAGAAAGAGCATCAAAAAATCTAAACTGACTTGGGTAAAAAAAATTACTCCCTCTCTTCCCTTCCCAAGGATTACTGGACATATCTGACATTCAAAAACTATGATCTCTTTAGGCTATACCACATCACTAAATTAAACATAAGATTTTCCTAGCTAGGTATTAACAAGTGGCATATTAAGAGGGTTTTCAACCAAAATAAATTACTTTCTTCTTTTATAGGATGAGCATTATGTCAGTGTTTCACTTTTGCAAAATGAAATTTGCATACTTGCCAGAGTAATTTATTTGATCACTTTTTTCACTTAAGGTGGGCAAAATATTGGAGTGAATCGCATTCCTCCTACCCAGTGTGACAATTGGGTACGGACAAGTAATGGAGGACATTTTGCTTCACCAAACTACCCTAACATGTACCCACCAAATCAAGAGTGCATCTATATCTTAGAAGGTACATGCTGTATTTCTGTTTTGTTGTGTTGTGATCTTACTGTTAAATGGATAATCTTGAACTGCTAAAACTGTGTCATTTTACTATCCTGTCAAGTATTGTATAGCCATACTGGACTGCAGTCATTAGGTTGAACAAGCAGCTAAATTTGCTCTCTGAAGTGATAATAACAAATTAATAGAAAATGCAAACGTTCAGGAATTAGCTATATGGAATAAGACATACCCTCACAGCCAGAAAAAGCAGCATCAGATCTACTGTAATCTATTAAGGCACAGAACTATTAAGATAAAAATTGCAGCTTGTTACCTTAATACTACTTCCAATATTGCTGATAATAAACTGCAAAGGATGGTTGAAGACTGTATTTTGTCTGTTTCACAAGCAGAAAATCCTTATGCTGTCCTTTATTGACACACCTGACTGCTACAGCACTGTACTAAAAATATGGAGATTTGTTAGCACTGCTGAAGTCACTATTAAAGTTATGTGATGAGGACAAAACAATTTCATTAACTAGAATAAAAGCACATTCCAATGAGAATATCTTGGATAAAGGCTGCAAGACTTCAGACACACTAATTATTTTTTTCTCTTACTAGAATGCACCCAAAACCCACTGAAGTCAGCTAAAAACGTTAGTCAGCTTAATCATCAGATTTATATCAATTAATTGAAATATTTCAAGTAATATTTTTCAGTGAGTTTTTATTTGTACAGTATAGTAGTGGCTCATAGACGCCCTCATTTTTGCTTGTAGGCATGAACATCTGAAGTTTTGCATCTTCCCTGCCAGTGAAGGCACTGGAGAGCAGATACCCTGTCCAGCTTCAGAGTTCACACATACCAGATCCGTTGCTGGATCTCCCTTGCGCAAGGCAGTTTCCATGGGGCACGGAATCGGTTTCCATGCCTCTGTCCTCGCTGTCGTTATACAGAAACGTTATGGGTACCTGAGTGAGACAAAGGCCCTCCACAATTTCTAGCTAAGATAGGGTCCTTCCTGCAGACCGCTGCAAATATGTGCGAACAGCTAAAAATGTTTTTAACTCATGTACAAGTAAGGCATAAGGTCTAAACAGAGTGTTAAGAGACATAAAGTAAATCCTTTTTGTATTCAGAAGAAGCAGACAGCATGTGATTCTTTAGTACTGTCATGCCAGATACGAATTAGTATCTGAAAGTTCATGTAGCTCAATAGATGACAAGAGCAAGAAACACTAACGTTATTCATAGAATATAAAGTCATGGTTCCAAACTACAGATGTGAGAGTCCCGGCACAAAGTAGCCATAGCTGCATCTCATCAGGATTTAGGGGGCTGATCCAAATCCTGATGTTAGGCTGTCACTGGTTCAGACTTACCAACACCTGCAGTCACCTGCAAATTAATAATATATATGAAGCATTTACACTTCTCTGAATATTCTAATAAAAGATGTCTCCTGCCAAAGGATCTGCAAATTTGGGCTTAATATTTAGGAAATACACCAGTGAGTAGTTTTTTGTATCTTTTTCTTTTCCATTCTTTTCTGCATCCCTCAATGTTTTGCCCTTTTTTACGTACTTTGCTTTCACAGAACACTGGTTTTAATTTATATCTTAATATTAATACTTGTTTGAATACCTTTGCATATATGTTAATATCCATTACATGTACTGCATTAAATTCATGTCATTTCTGAATGCTCAACAATAAAGATCAGCAAGCAAAAAAATTCCATAAAATTCCATGAAAAAGTATCTTCTACACAATCATTTTTAAAATTTTTATTACAGTGTATCTGAGTTTTTGTAGCAGACTGCCAGATGTGTTTTGAGAAGTTTTCAGTTTCTTTTTTATCTTGCTGGTTTGGAGGCCTGTCTCTTCATTGTTTCATGTCTTCATGAGTTTTTTATGTAGATGTTCATTTAATCTTTTGCTCGATTTTTTATGTCTAGCTGCTCCACGACAAAGAATTGAGTTGACCTTTGATGAACCTTATTACATAGAACCCTCATTTGAATGTCGGTTTGATCATCTGGAGGTTCGAGATGGACCTTTTGGTTTCTCCCCTCTCATTAATCGTTACTGTGGTCTGAAAAGTCCTGCACTAATTAGATCAACAGGGAGGTTTATGTGGATCAAGTTTACTTCTGATGAGGAGCTGGAAGGAAAGGGATTTCAAGCAAAGTACTCATTTATACCAGGTAAAGATGCCTAAAATTCTGACCGAGTTAACGACCATCTGCTCCCGTTGAACTCTGTGGATGTGTTTATGCTGGCAATCTAGAGCTGTATTTCATAAGTGTCGATGAAGGCAAAGTGACAATGTGATAGTTACAATCTCAGTCCTGCTAATCCTGCAGCATACTTGACTAAACCAGCTTTAGAAAATTGTCTGAAGGGAATTATAGGTCTATAGTTGCTAGTGAAGAAGTCAGTTGATCTGGTTCATGCTGAAGGCTTTAGCAACTTCCCTCTTTGTTACTCTAACTTGTACCAGTTTCACCAGTGGTAGTAACGGAAAGAGCATTTACGTAGACAAATAGCTGGCATTTGCAACAGCTATCTTCTAGGAATATAAGACACTATGACAAAAACACCTAAAGCAAAGCTACAATAGCACTTCCAGCCAAATGCAAAACATTTTAAATCTCCATTCTGAAAAGCCAGAAGAAATATTTATACCATCCAGGCATCAGCTCTCAGTATAACTAGATTCCCTCAAACCACAGCCTCAGACAACTAAATTGTTCTTTGCTCAAAGTACAGTGTAGTTTACAGGGTATGAAGGAGAGGATAATATGCTGACAGTGCCTTTAGACAAACAAAAAGTACATCTGCTCTGTGGGGCCACTTAAAATTGGCAGGGCATTCTTTTTACAAGAAAATTTGACCCAATGTCCTTGTGCAATGATTGACTGCTGTACTTCATAGATACTATATGTGTAGTTATCAGCATTTTATTGTCCTTTGGGACTAAAGACAGTATACGTGTCAGCTCTTCTACAACTATAAATGTATACGCAGGCATAACTTTTTAATGTCGTCTTTACCCAGCTGGTCTTTACCCCTGCAGGACATGAAAACACTATACATGGTTATATATTACTGCTTATAGAACTGTATACCTTGCTAGGGATTTAGACTTGGAAATTCTTCAGATTAACATGGCGACCAGTCCACTGGGAATGACATGCTAAAATGTTTTCAGAGGGACAATACTTAACGCATTTCGCTAAGTCCATTTCCAAAGCCATTTCATTAACACCACTTTCAAAACTAACTTTGCCTAGTTCCAGTGAAAATGGAAGGGGGCATGCACGTACACCCCCACTTCATAAATTAAAAAAAATCAGTTCACAAAGAAGTTCACAATCAGTTCACAAATTCTCTTGCAGAATTTTGCATATAGTGATCATACATTTCACTGTAGGTAACTAAAACAGAGGAGGGCAAAGAAGGCATTTTCTCAGCTGTACTGAGTCTTAAGCTCAGGACTGAGGCATTTTAGGTGAAGTGATAAACTTATACAGAAAAACATTTAGAGGACCACAGAAAGAGCCAAATTCTGGAACTTCATTTGGAAAAGAATTTTGTACAAAACAGGCATGCACTTTTGCATGAACTAGTGTTTTCTTTGCATAGACTAACATTTCACACACATACACACACTATGATTTGTGTGATTTCTGTGGTGATTTTCAATGCCACAGCTGCAAATGGGTGCATCTTGCGAGTTTCTGTGCTGATTTGTGAGGAAACGCTAACCTGATCACTGAAATGTAAGCCTTGGACATCCCAGCCCATTACAGACTCTGTTTTAGCCAAGCCCTAGTCCCAGTAAAGTCAAGTACCATCAGTTAACCATTATGAAAAAGTGTATTCTTAACTCACTAGTAGTATGCATACGGTATACTACTACAGTATATACTACAGATACATACACTACACATCACATTTAGAAGAGAGAAGATAGAGGAGCAATCAAGGTGAAATTCTGCCTCCTTAAACGATGTTTAGACCTGTGCTACCTGGCCTAATAGAAGAGGCGTGGGTACCCAAGGAAAACGTATCTTTAGTATTGAACTGTCCTTCTTTGTATTCTTTATTAATAGCAATTTCAAAGCGTTGATATATTCTACTAAACTTCAAATTGTTCAGAACTAGACAGACAGCAATCTGATAAAAATGATGCACACAGAAAGATCCCCTGTACTCTTGTGGAGCTCCAGTGATTTCAGTGAAAACCAGCATAGTTAAATTCAGAATGTAATGTAGGAACAAAATAGCTAATGGTAATTTTTGGTGTTATGCTGGAAATCTGCGCTGTCAGAATAGAATTACCTTATTCAGATTAGGTCAATCTTTGTGGAATAATGTTACCATCAAAAAAAAAAAAAAATTGTCTCTGTACCCTCCAATCGATTCAGTAAACTTGTGGGCAATTTTTATTGTGACATAATAAAAAATGGACATAATCTTCAGATTATACTAAACCTTGAAGTGATTCTCAAGCATTGATAGCCCCTGTGATTCATGATTTCTTTCTTTTACAGATCCTGACTTCACTTACCTAGGAGGTATTTTAAATCCCATCCCAGGTCTAGTATTACAGTAACAATTTCTTTATACATGAACTTTTAAATTAATATCATACTGCATTTGACAGCAAGCTATATGTTCTCCCTAGACTGCCAATTTGAGCTCTCAGGAGCTGATGGAATAGTACGTTCCAGTCAAGTAGAACAAGAAGGAAAAACAAAACCGGGACAAGCAGTTGACTGCATATGGACAATTAAAGCTACTCCAAATGCTAAGGTGGGTTTCATTCATATCATTCAGCATATAATGGGTTTCCAAGTCATTAGTAACAGGTAATAGTCACTAGCTGTGATTTGCATAATGTCTCACTTTCACTGAAATGAATTATGGATCAGTAGCTTAGGAAATCCAGATAGATGACTGTTTCTGAAATTAAACTTATGCAGCAACTCCACAGTGTTGTCTTCCTATTATTTGGAACTTAAGATACAAAATAACTGTGAAAACTGTTCAATCAACAATTTTCAAGGGCATTTGACTTGAACTCTGGTTTTATTGGAAGACCACAGGCAAAAATGCTGGCTAACGTCTTTGATAAATTCCAGTAAATCTTGCTGCCGTGGTCTAAAATTTTGCCTCCAGTGGTTCTATTGGAGAATTTGGTTCTATTCAAAGTCAACGGAACATGTACCTGCTCCTCCCCAGTCTAATTCACAATCCAGCACCTTAAAATCCACTTTCATCAGCAGTCTGAGCTAAAATGAAAGGCTTTCCCTGGAAACAGTTGAGGAATTATCACTTTTTCTGTCTGATTTAGCTGTAGGATCACACCCTCTTAAAGTGCCACAGTAAAATTTGCTAGAGCTTTTCTGCCTAAGCTGTGAAAGGGGCATATTAGCTGCTCGAGCCAAAAATCAGCATTAGTTACGTAGGTACCTGATACTTACAATTGTGCCTGCGGAACTAGAGACTGCTTATGAAAACATCACTATCTTATGCTCATTAAGAGCAACTGAGCTTTATTGTTGGGCAGAGAGAAGGATAAAATCCTATTTCATAATTCCAAAATACAATAGCTATAGCCTGTTTAAAAAAAGAAAAAACAACAGCTGTATGTTTCAGAATCATATACGTGTTAATTACTTGTGAGCTGCACTGAAGAATACATTTTTTTCTCCATATATCATACACATCTGTAATTTTGCTTCTCTGTGTGTATGAAAGCACATAAATATACTGTTTGCCTGTACATAAAAATTAAAAAATATTTTTAATCAATAGCTTAAAATAGCCTTCTTATGCACTCCTAATAGTTAACTAACCAGCCCTATTCACCAACTTGCAAATTAGTTCTAAAACAGCAACCGAAAAGGTGGTAATAAGAGGACAAGACAAGAAAGAAACTCCATTAATATATTTGAGCCTATGAGGAAGTGACTCAACTCCCAAGAGCCCTATACTAGTCTAAGTAATAGTAGCAGTTCTTCCAGAAACAATAATAAAACCATTTTCTCTCTACATTGCCTCTTGAGTGCACCAGGTCTTATGCTTAAGCATTTTAATAAATAATTGAATGTTGCCAGAAGGCAGAGTTATAGTTGGGTCAGTCCTGAGATTAGATCATCATCCTAAATTACTGAGTTAAAACATTACAGAAAAATAATTCTTAGTATTCTGACAGTGGTTTCTCAAGCTTCAATTCTGGCAGAATTATGATGATAAAATCCATTAGATCTGATGTGGTGCAGTCTCTCAAGAAAAATAAGCATAGACATTTTTAACTTCCTCAATTTGATTTTGTAATAAAACCAATTTTTTTAAAACTGACACAACTGCAGCAATGAAAGGATTTTTTAAATCTGCATAACAGATATTTAATAAATTACCTCCAGATTTCAGAAAATTACTAGAATAATCAATATAATCTAAGAGCGAGGACCTTTTATATTTACTTACCTAACACACTAACCAGAAGGAGCTTTTGCAGAGCTGAGCTCTTTTAATGGAATTGTTCCTTTGTTTTCATACACAGAATAGCTCCACTAAAAGCACGCTATTTATTTTTAGCTTCCATTGTCATTTCACAGCAGATATATAAAGTCAATCGTTAAATGAACATACCATCTCTCAGCCCAAATCCTAGCACTTACAGCTCACACCCATGTTTGCGAGATAAGACATCAGTGGAAGACAGGTTCTCAATGTAGCTGAGAATTTCTGGCAGTAAATCTAACAAAGACAGCAGGAAAAAAAACTACTGAAAATCACAAACCAGTGAGATGCAGCATGAGATAATCATAGAATCATAGAATGCTTTGGGTTGGAAGGGACCTTTAGAGGTCACATAGCCCAAGCCCCCTGCAGTGAGCAGGGACAGCTTTAACCAGATCAGGTTGCTCAGAGCCTCGTCCAACCTGACCTGGAATGTTGCCAGGGATGGGGCCTCCACCACCTCTCTGGGCAACCTGTTCCAGTGCTTCACCACCCTCATTGTAAAAAATGTCTTCCTTATATCCAGTCTAAATCTATTCTTCTTTAGTTTAAATCCGTTATTCCTTGTCCTGTCACAACAGGCCTTGTTAAAAAGATTCTCCCCATCTTTCCTGTAGGCCCCCTTTAAGTATTGGAAGGTCGCAATAAGGTCTCCCCGCAGCCTTCTCTTCTCCAGGCTGAACAACCCCAACTCTAATAATAATATGCACAGGCTGTACCTTTTCACAGAATGTGCAAGGGGAGACAGTGCTGGCAACCTGCCTCTGGAAAACCCTGGAAAGGAAGAGCCAAGGTGTACAAGTGTCACTTTCTACTGTGCTCTTTTACTGTGTTTTCAGTAGAGCCTGTTAAGCGTATGTGACGGGTATCTCCCCGCTCCCCCCCGCCCAAGGTAGTTGGTTTTTAGTGAATTCTTTGAAATTCAATTTTAAAAGGCTTTGGCACTAGCTGAGGTTAAAAGCAAGATATGGCAAAAGGGCAGAAAAATACGTAATGTAGCAGTAGTAAGCGTGGTATTCATCCACCCTGTCTTCCCTGCTTCACAAACTAAAGCAGAGTTGGAGATTCTTGTCATTAGGCAGATGCATGAAGAAGTGCACTGTGCAAAAGGTCTTCAGCATCCATAGTATCAGCCAGAGAGGTAATTGTAAACTGTACTCAAAACGCAAACAGTCTAGACCCAAGCTCATCTGAGGAACATACTGAAGACCTCATGGATAGAGGAGGAAGCACCTCTTCTTCCATGGAGCAGGAGACCTCAGCCTCCACACGGATAGATTTCTTCTCTGTCAAAGTAATGGCTACCTAAGGAACTTTTAAAGTTAAAAATGGACTTTGCAGCATGCTTAGGTGACTTACTTGGGCATCTCATCAACTTTCACTAGAATTCTGAGAATTCCAATAGAACCATTCAAGAGATTAAAAAACTCTATGATCTTTTCATGTAATTCTAACTGAATTACAATCTTGCACAAGTTTCCTGCTCCAGCAAAATAAATAATTTGCTTACTCTTCAAGTGCCATCTTGGTCTTCTAACTTCCTTGCTGCAAATGTTCTACCACGTACACTGCCTTCTCTTGGATTAGATTTCTGCTTTTGGAGGAATTAAGACTGTCTTAAACTTGTTAACTCTTCCTAGACAGCCAGCTTACTTTTCTCCTCCTTCCATTTTCATTCAAATTACTCCTGAATTCATGGTTTATGTCTTCTGTAACACCGCTCTGGTTCAGTAATTAGCTTTCATTCTGAAGCAATAAATTTTGATTTCCTTATTTTACTTCAGAGCTTTTCTGACTAGACTCCTTCCCTTATATTTTAACATTGTTTTTATGAATTAAAAAGAAAGAAAAGAGAACAGTCAAAATACCAGTCAAAATACCATTAAAATTCTTTCAGCACATTTATGTGTTTTTTGTATCGCTTCTAGAGTAATAGACTGCACATTTAGCAGAGCTGCTTGGGGCTTTCTTCAGCAAGTGTGTTGCTTTTTGCTTTTTTTCCCAAGGGAAGCAGAAATATATCAGAGTAAATTATTAAGTAAAGATTGTTTGGGGGTGGGGGGGGAGAAGTGAAACAGATACTTCAGACAAATTTCAAGTAACACTCTACATTGACATTTAATGAGAAAATACAAGTTTAAAAGTGTTTTGAATTGGGAGTTACACATATGTGTAAGAGGACAAAACATCTTATTCAAGATTTGCTAGGAAAGAACACTGTCTTCTGTATTACTTTTCCTAGAGACATTAATTTCTCTTTTCTAACAGATTTATTTGCGATTTCTCGACTATCAAATGGAACATTCAAATGAATGCAAAAGAAACTTTGTTGCTGTGTATGATGGAAGTAGTTCTATTGAAAACCTGAAGGCAAAATTTTGCAGCACCGTAGCAAACGATGTCACGCTGCAGACTGGGACAGGTGTGGTACGAATGTGGGCGGATGAAGGCAGTAGACTAAGCAGATTCAGAATGCTGTTTACTTCATTCGTGGATCGTAAGTAGATTTTAAAGCGCCTATTCTCCTGGTATCAGGGTACTTAAGGTATTTTAGGAAGAGCATCAACTATGTATTATGCAGCAGGAAAACACAAAAAAGGTTGTTTCTGTTTCCTTCACATACTAGCAGGTAAATTAAATGCTTGCTTTATTACTGTTATAAGCATGGTTCCTGAAGAAAGGCTTTCCTCCATTCTTAAAAGGTTTATTTTTCATTTGAATTCAGTAATAATACAGCCCTAGGCTACTTCCTTCTCACAGAGTTCTACAAATGAGCACAGACTTACTTAAAAAGACAGCAATGGGACCAAAGTGTGCTCTCCCACTAGGCCCCATCTTCTAGTTCCCTGCCAGACAGCCAGCTCTTCTCAAGCCCACACTGGATGTTCGGAAGGCTAGAAAACATGTGTGACCGTGCAGAGTCTGGATCTTCAGCCCTACCTTCAATTTTGGATCTGGAACTACACCCACTCCAGCTACACCTCAGCTGCTACCTCCTTCTCAGCCACATGTGGCTCTTAAGTGATCCCACACATGGTCCCTTAGCAAAGCCCAGCTGTGTTGCACAACTGTGGTTAAGCAGTTAAATTCAAATTTATTTAAGAAGGCTATATTAAAAGCAGAGCTGTAAATGCAGTCTGGATTCCATTTGGATTCCATAGCCTGGATTAGAGATAGTCTTTATTCTCATTGTAAATTACGATGTTTCTTGAAAGCATGCTTTTTGTCAGATTTTCTTCTAAGTCCTTTCTCTCTGAACTTAATGGAATTTTGTTGCCTCACATTTACAAAAGATGACATTGTCCACATTGCAGAACCTGAAAATAAGTTGCATGTTCAGCACAAAAGTAGACTAAGTTTAAAACTGCAGAGCAGATCCGAGATACACGGAGGGAGCTGAATAAAACATATCTGCCGCTTCAGGAAATCAGATGTGTGCTTGTACTAGAGGTTTTCAAAAAGTTCTGCTTGAAGAATAAATAGTACAGATTTTCTGTCAAAGAAATAACTTTTTTGACAGAACTAACATGTCTGTAGCCGGTCCTGAAAGGTATCCTGGTCACCACCTTGCAAAAATGTTCAGGATACAGGTAACAAGTAGATTTTATGTTCTCTTCCATAAACCAGTAGAGTTTAACACAGGAGTTTGGGATTGGGGCGGTGGGAGGGCTGTGTGTAGTGGGTTTTTTTGAGTTGAAGAGGTTGAAACAGTAACTACTCCTAAAGCTAGATAACTTTCCAAACTTATGATTTTAAAGCAACTCAAAAGTCACTGGCAAAAGAAAACATGCAAAGGTATGTGGTTATTCTTATTTATCTTCTAACCTGAGATACTGTCTTTCTTGGATAGGGTAATTCAAAGTATGTGTCTGAAAAATGTTTCATGTATTTTTAAATAATCTAGTGATAAACAATTTTTCTAACTGGAAAAAGTCAATCCATGCTCATCTTATTTTCAGATCATTAAGCTATTTTTCTCTTCTACCTTACTAATGATTTGTAATTATATGAAGCCGACCATGAAAACAATCAATGTTTCTGAAAAGATTTACATAAATGAACTAATTGTGCATGACAGTCACCTAACACACACCTAGTGCTGCTTGCAGATTTGACTAAGTAATTCAGCTAACAGCAATGTTAAAAATCAATGTATTTGGCTTGATTCAATACATGAATAATGCTAGCTGTAAAGAGCATTGTGAACATTGCACCAGTCTTAGGCAGCCATTATGAGAAGAGCCCAGCTATGTCCTTGAAGTCCTGGACTGGAAGCGATCAATCGTTGTGACTTTTAGACTTTGTACTCCCCAAATAACAAACAAAACCAAAATTAAGTCCATTTGTCCCATCTTTAGGAACTTGTGAACAAAAGGTATCCCCCTCCAAAAAATGTTAAAGAGACTACACAGGGAAGTAAAATAAAGACTATGCTGGCAGATGGAGAAGTGGCAGCAGAATGCATCTTCCCAAAATACAGAAACATGAAAAAATTCCCCTGTTCAGGGAAATAAGAAAGGGAATGTGTCTTACAACATAATTCTTCCTCTGTGCCTCCAGAAGAGCTACAACTCCATACAGATCCATATTGAAACACCAGCAGATACACATGGATCCATTACAACCACTCCAGACATGAATTTCATAGAACCTCCTTTTCTGACAGTCAGAAATATTTTAGTAGATATTGTAGCCTATTACATACATAGCCTTTTAAACTATTGGGTTTAAACGATGATCCTATTTATCCTTTATTTCTTACTTTTGTATCCTTTATTGTCTTAGTTTTGCCTTTCTGATTCTCTGCCCCCCTCCCACCAGGGGGGAGGGTGAGCGAGCAGCTGTGTGGTGCTTGGTTTCTGACAGGGGCTAAACCACGACATAAGGCCAAGAGCCTTTTATTTTGTAGTCTGCATCATGAACAGCTCCATTTTAACTATTAGCCTTTCTCCCATTATATTCTGTATAATGGTTAGAAATGTTGAGTACATCTTCCTGTTTCTACAAATTGCTTTAGGTTGTCTGGGATACCTGTTTTCATATCTAGATTGATACTCTTGCATAAGTTTTAGCCTGTCATCATTTAGTCCTTCAGGGAGAAGGTGTGAATCCCTTTGGAATTTGATTGCAGGATAATTTTGGACAATGCTTACATCATGATGTATCATGATTTCATATGATGCTTACAGAATAATGCTTACATTGTACCTTAAACCATTAATGATGTGAATTGCCTTAGCATCCACTCTTGATACATTGTAGGTGATAGTTTGGCACACTGACAACACAACAATCAGGTTCTTTCATATTTTCTTTCCTAAACAATAGCAATTGGAGAAACAGTTAAGACATAGTTAAGTCTGAACATATGAAAATGTTTGATTTCACTCTTCCGTTGACTAGGTAATTGCATAGTTGATCTTTAAAAAAGTCCTACTGAATCATGTTCCACTAAAAAATGGTTTGGCCCTTGCAACAAAGTGAACATAAAACATTCTGGAAAAAAGGCCGTTGATTTAGAAACCTAACTAGGAAGTCTCTCTGACCAGAGAGTATCAAGGAGAGCAGGTTTCCCAGGACCATATGCAATCAGTTGCTGAGCATCTCCAAGGATGGAGACTCCACAACTGCTCAGGGCAACCCATACCAGTCATGTCAGATGCTCCAAGTCCTTATCTTCACACCATTTCCCTGGATCCTCTCATATCTCTCTTATACTGGTGACCCCAGCACTGAGCATAGCACTCCAGATGTGGTCTCACCAGTGGTGAGCAGAGGGGAAGAATCACCTCCCTTGACCTAGTGGCAATCTTCCTAATGCAGCTCAGGATACTGTTGTAGTTTCCCCCCCCCCCCCCCCCCGCCTCCTACAAGGGTACATTGCTGCCTCACCTTCCACTTTTTCTTTGTGAGGACATCCAACTGTTTGTCTACAGAGCTGCTTTCCAGCTGGTTGGGCCTCAGCCTGTACACATATGTGGAGTTATTCCTCCACAACTGCAGGACTTTGTGTTTCCCTTTCTTGAACTTCCTGAGGTTCCTGTCAACCTATTTCTCCAGCCTGTCTCAAGTGGCAGCACAACCGTCTGGTCTATCAGCCGCCCCTGCCAGTTTTGTATCATCTACAAGCTTGCTGAAGGTGCAGTCCATCCCAACATCCAGGTCATTAGTGAAGAGGTTAAACAGTGTTGGCCTCACTGTTGACCCCTGGGGTACATTAGTGATAGTCTCTAGCTGGACTTCGTGCCTCTAATCACAACCCTTTAAGCCTGGCAGTTCAGTCAGTTTTCAGTCCACTTCACTGTCCTCCTATGTAGTCTCTATCAGTTTCTCTACAAGGATATTATGGGATGGAATTTTGAAAGCCTTGCTGAAGTCAGGATATACAACATCCACTGCTGTCTCCTCATCTAAGTTAGTAATTTCATCGTAGAAGGCAATCAGGTTGGTCAAGTATGATTTAGTCATGATAAATCCATGCTGACTACTCCCAATGACCTTCTTATCCCCGATACATTTGGAAACAGCTTCCAGGATTATTTGCTCTCTCACCTTCCCAGGCACTGAGGGAAACTCCCCCCTGTCCCATTCAGTAGTAGGCCCATGTTTTCCTTGGCCTTCCTTTTGTTGCTGATGCACTTGATGAAGCCCTTCGTGTTGCCTTTCATGTCCCTTACCATATTGAACTCCACGCAGGCTTCGGTTTTCCCAGCCCCATCCCCATCCCTGCACACTCACCATGTCTGTATTCCTCCCAGGGCACCCGGCGCTGTTTGCACCTAACGTGACATCTCATTCATAACTGATACAATGGGTGTGATCTACACCTTCCTAAGCATTGATCATATTTTAAAGCCGTGTTCTTCAGACTAAATCTATTTTCCAAACAATTAAATTCTCAACTCAGTTGAGCGAGGAAGATACATGTGTTAGTTACTATGACATTTTTAAACACTGAAATTACATTGATAAACTCCAAAATACATTCTAAATACATTCTGTACTATGTTAAAGTACTACAACACTTGAACTACAATTAAAGCACAAGCTTCCTATATGGAACTTCTTGCCAGGTTTCCAGGGGTTAAGCAATAACAGCAAGCCAATACAAAAGCTTAAAACCAACGAGCATAGGTTACCAAAACTCAGTGGAGTAAGAAATGGAAAGACAATGCATATTAGATTTAGGGAATGCAAATTCAGAATTAAAGGTTTGAATTTTCTTTTCTCTTAGGCATAACTCCTCTTTTTGTCACTGAGATTCTGAAGCCTAACAGAAGGACTAAGTGAGAAACACACTGTATTCAAGACTAGTCACCCTCCTCTGCTGTACCCTTTGGGTTTTGCATTGTGTTTCAGAGAATCCAGACTGCTCAAGAATAATTTTTTTCTATGAAACCAAATAGACAGAATGTCTATCACACATCTTTGCTGTTTAATATAACTGACTCCACTAACAATAGACATTTCTGTCATAAAAATACCATATTACTGAGACAGAGAAAGGGAAATTGAATTTCTTGTCCAGTGCTCTGAATTCATAAAGAATTTCCTATGTATATTATACAACATCCTGAAAAGAATTATTACTATTTTTTAAATATATTTTTCTAATGTCAAGGAGCTATAACAAACATTCACGGAAACATAAAATCTTTAGGGCAACTTTCTAGTTAATTTATTTCTTCAAATTTCTAACCATATAGATAAAAAGATAGATAGATAGCTAAAAGATAGATAAAAAGCTAAACTGTACGCTCTTAATCCCTGCATTAGCTCTAATAGGAGGATCTAAGAGCTTTGATTCACAAGCAGAAATGACTTAGATGCCTCCAGTTACTGAAGTCTCTTGCAATTACTGAAACAGCCTCCACAAGCTGAAATCTGATTTGCCTTAAGATATTAGTGGGTTCTAAAATGCAGATGTTCAGGAACTTGCTTCACAACGAGCTGTACCATCTACAGAGCAGATGCACAGCAGATTGAATAAATATATAATTCATGGTGAGCATGCGATTTAAGCATTAAGTTTTTAAAGAGAAGTATTAAAGCCTTCTTCCATTATCTGTGTTGTGTGACTGTCTCTACCTGCTACCCATTCTGAGCAGAATTTTTTTTTTTTTTGGTAGCATTGATAATACACCTCAAAGCAACCACATGAAGAGAGAGTAAATCATCCAATAATTAGTGATGTGCAGGAAAAGTGATTGTGTTTGAAAGAGATAAAGAATGAGTATGCATGTTAAAAAAATAACAGGAATTTACTAGTTTTATTGCAATGCATCAATTACTCAAAATTCCTAATGTTTTCTTTCTCTTCCTTCCTACAGCTCCCTGCTCAGGCAACACTTACTTCTGCCATAGCAACATGTGTATCAATAATTCTTTAGTCTGCAATGGCATTCAAAACTGTGCATACCCTTGGGATGAAAATCACTGCAGAGGTGAATATAGTGCAAAGTGTAGCCTTTATGAGCTAGGCTGGTCAGTTTGTCTTTCAAGGAAGTAAGGAAATGTCTTTTTCCTGGAAATATGCTGAAGACAGCTATTCTACTAGTCTCAGGAAGGTGTTCCAATTTTTTTATTTAAGCTCAGGAGACATGTAAGCATCCTAAATATTGATCTTACTGCTTTATAATTAAATTTCTTCCTCTTCAGCATATACTCCCTATTTTAAAAGAATGTCGGCTTAATAGTATTTGCCAGGTTGCATCTTATCCATTTCTAAACTTTAAATGAAGCAAGGATCACAGGGACAGGTAATACTTTTTATTAGAGAAAAAAGAAATAGAGAGCTTTAAAAAGACAGACAAGCCTTCAAACAAAAAAAAAAACAAACCTTTCTCAGGGCTGAAATAGAAGCAACAATCTTCAAAGACAAATACAATTTCAAAACATTTGTTTTAAGCTGTTCATCACAGACTATCTCAGAGTAAAGGCAACTGGTGCATATGGTGTGAGAAGGGGCAGGAGGAAGGAGGAATTGTTAGGAAGCAAGAAGCCATTGCTTTTGAAAACAGACACATGTAAATCACTGCTTCTAGAACATGGGGTAGAGGAGTATGTTTAAACCATCACAATTACAGTAAAGACTTGTTTCAATATCAGGTTTTGTGGAAAAAATTCTCATGATTTGAGGAAATTGCTATTCTGTTAAAGCACAAATACATTCACCTGTGCTTCAACAGTAACTGAATTTTCAGAGTTGGAACAAAACCAGTTTAAGGTCAACAATTTTTCTTGCTAAAAGAAAACGATAAAACAAACTTGAGCTTGGTTTGGGTTTGTTTTGTTTTTGGGTTTTTTTTTTTTCTCCTCCAAATAGAATGGCATAAATAGGTCTGAACACAAAACTCCTGAAAGATTTAAACATGTACTCCATTTCAAAGGAAATTGACCCTGCAGGAAGGGTCAAAACATTCTCTACAGAAAATCTTGAAGTAAATGGCTTTTCAACACACAAATCCAGCTTAATTTTTTAGTAAATAAATATTTGAAAACCTACTTTGAAATTGCATTTTGGGCAAGCAAAAAACTCACACCACTAATAAATACTCTAATGCAAGGTATATTATGGAAGCTTTCCAGTTAACAAAACTGATCCATAACTCCCAAGTCTTCAATGTAGAAGTAAGCTTCTTCTAAACAATCCTTAGCTTTGATAATATTCAGTGTTCCCTCTTAAGTACAATTTCTAGATCTCTTTCCCATCTCTATCAACTGCTTTCTAGAATCTTACCTAGAATCCACACTTCACTCAGGTACGGCAGTATTTAAAAAAATGAATTCCATAAAAACTGTATCGCAGTGTGAAGAAAGCATCTTTCCCAATATTTGTAAATTGCTGTATCTGGTACTGAATAACCTACCATGTTCTATGTTGAATACAATCTAAATTCTGCTTTAATACTTGCAGAGCAGATCATTAAGAGACAGCTAAAGAATGAATCTATATTGCCAGCTAAGGCAAAGGAGACTGATGCAACCAAATGAGCAATATCTAGCCTTAAAGAGAAAGCTGCTCACAATTATGCTCAATTCCTGCAGGCACCCAGAGTTCTCACTTAGTCCACATCAATAGCTACCTAAATCGGACCTACATTATGCCTAAGCCCAGTGACACAAAAATTGACAGAAAAGTCAGTTGTGTGCAATTTCTTTTAAGAGACTGGAGAAGACATCACCTTTTGCATATCAATTTTTTATTAGAATATCTCCCAAGAATTAAGAAACCTAGATGCAGATGAGAGAACTGCCACAGCACTGAAATTCATACCTCCCGCAAAGTATGGTAACACAAAGATCTAAGCTAGGCAGGACAAGGGGAGATATCCTCCTTCACATTAAAGGTATAAATGTAACTCAGAGTAAACAGTCTAAGAAGCAAAACTGTATTTCAGACACAACTTCTAATTAGCCAATTCCTTGGGACCTTCTGTTTAGTATATGGATTGTTTCAAGTAGCATATGATGGTATATAACTCTCTCCACACGCTGTGTGTGGAGTACTTAGGTGCATAACACACATATCCAGATGCCAGGAGCCAGATATCTGAAAATAATATGCAGCATTTAGGCTACTAGATTTCCTTCTACATAGTCTTAAATGCTTTTCTCCCCCATTAGCAGATGTTGCAGAGTCTCAGTGTAGAATTCTTTTAGTCCCCTAGGACAAGTACATTTACAGAACAGAAATCCAACTGGAAAATTTTAATCTTTAAATAAGAATTTGAAGTATGGAAAGCCGTCTTGTTCTGATGCTGCCATCTTGTGTGTTTTCATATGAAGTACTAGCCAAAAGCACCATATGATTTGGGTTGGTTGGCCCCCCCTCCCCTTTCTTTTTTTCCAAATGACTTGATTACTGGACTGTTAAAACTGGAATATATCTATGCTAAAGCTCCCTGTGTTGAAATAGGTATAACAGACTTACACAATAGACACAGTCAACAAGTTTCCAAGAGATGTGAAAACAAATAGTACAGTCAATCCGACATCATCACTGTGATAATATTTCACTTTTAAAGAAGAACTAGATAATTTTAAATCTAGGTTTCCTTCTACTGACATGAATGGGAATGCTACCAGCAGGAGCAAACTATGGTAAGAGAAGCATCATCTGTAGCTGTATAAACTTCTATTTAACTCATGGATTTTAGAATATGAACTGATCGGTTCAGGATTGAAGCCACATCCTAGCTGAGTCAGCATGCACTGGCCACAGAGTTCCACCTGCCACTGAATTATCATGTGGTAGCCACCAGTGCAGACAGGGAATTAGACGTGCTGAACAAATGCACTGATCCAGTATGATAAATCCCATTGACATACAGATCTAGTCTCCAGTGCCATTAAGTCATTTCATTAATACAGCACTTCGATGGCAATCACAATACAGCTTGCTTTGTTTTAATATATGATCAAAAGCGTGGAAAATAATAAAAGCCTTATAAATCCTCATTTTTTCTTTGCAGAAAAGAAAAAAAATGGATTGTTCGAACAAATCACCAAAACTCATGGAACGATCATTGGCATCACGTCAGGGATTGTTTTAGTTCTTCTCATCATTTCAATTCTAGTACAAGTAAAGCAGCCTCGCAAAAAGGTTATGGCTTGCAAGACTGCTTTCAATAAAACTGGTTTCCAGGAAGTATTCGATCCTCCACATTATGAACTATTTTCACTAAGGGACAAAGAAATTTCTGCAGATTTGGCAGATTTATCAGAAGAACTTGAAAACTATCAGAAAATGAGACGCCCTTCAACAGCTTCCAGATGCATTCATGACCACCACTGTGGCTCCCAGGCCTCTAATATAAAACAAAGCAGGACAAACCTCAGCTCCATGGAACTTCCCTTTCGCAATGATTTTGCGCAGCCTCAGCCAATGAAAACATTTAATAGCACATTCAAGAAAAGTAGTTACACTTTCAAACAAGCGCATGACTGCCCTGAGCAAGTCATAGAAGACAGAGTGATGGAGGAGATTCCGTGTGAAATCTACGTTAGAGGAAGAGAAGATACAGCACAAGGTTCATTATCTATTGACTTTTAATTTCTTAGTGAAGGTGGTATCAGTGTATATACCAGATGCTTGTGTATAATGACAGTGTATATATTGAAAGTGTACCATATGCAGCGTGTGAGATGCACACACTTTTAGGTTATTATATTCATTTGAAAAAAACAAAGTCTTCGTAACTAATTCTTGCTGAAAAATGGTGGATTTCCTCCCATATTCCCAAGCTACCTATCTAGTGGAGGAGTAAGACAGAGACTTTGCATGGATATTGTAAGTTAAGGATATTGGAAGAAAAACACCCAACAACTACTAATCATTGAACACTGAAAACAATGACTACTATTCTCTTCCTCATATCATTTTATCTTCTTCGGACGTCTGCTTTTCAAGACAATTTTAATACCTCAGTTACATAAATAAAAGTAGTTAAGTGCACCATGTGTATGTCAACATAGGTGTCTTATTGTATTTGTCAAACTGAAAGTAGAGTTAGTGTTAAGTGCCAGTTAAGACTCAAGAATTATGTTACAGCCATCTGTTTCATCTTGCCTACCATTTATATTGCCTTTAATTATCAGTTCCTCACTCAATGCTTTGTGAGAAATAAGTGTAAAGGATTACTGCCTTTTAAAAATATCGAGTTACATTAATTTTAGTACATTAGGAAATATATAATCTTCAGCTTTTGGTTAAAGCACAAGTACTCATTCTAGATGCAGACTTACAACAGTTTTCTTTCAAGAAGGTTTAGGATTTTTAAATATTCTGCCATATATTATAGATCCATATGGCTCACTGATTTCACAGCTCTGTAGTTAGAAAACAATTTTGTTCCCATGTTTTCCAAGTATTTACATAAATAGACTGTACTGTACATTTGTCGCTTAAAATAGCCTTTTACTTCTTATTGCAGCCAATCTTCCCTACTGAAATCAGTGATGATACTTTTAGCTCATGTCCTACTTGCCTGAAGAGAACTGCTCTAAGGTCTATGTGATTACCAGGTATATGAAGATACTGGAAAGAAAAAGAAATCACAAAGCAACTCTTATTAACCCTTACGGAACCCTTCTTGTGCCCCTTGTTTCCACTTGCAAAGTTGCACATTTCATACCTTTTTTAATGGTGGTTTGGACCTAATTTTAAAATTTTTACAATATAGAAACATTTTTAAAATATAATAATTCTCATTGTAGTTTTTAAACTTTTTATATAGTTTGATACTGTACAGACTATTTATTAAATCAAAATCTAGCACCTGTACAGCAGGCTTGTTTCAGTGTCCCTATTAGCAGCTTTGAATAACATGCAGTGGCTGCTGCATACATCGCAGTTTGCCAGGAATACTTAATATGACTTCTGCATTAGCCAACGTTTTATTCCCTGATTTGTTTGGGTTTATTCTGGTATTTTGTTTACAGGAAACTTTTCACTGAAGGTAACCTACCAGCTTGCACTGGGAATATCCTTTATTTACAAACATATGTAAAACCATAATGTTTGTTGTGCTGACTGTAGTACAAAAAAAAATAATATTAATATATGACCCTAGCAACTGAAAAAAATCTTTTCTTTAAAATAAAAGATGAACAGCTGTAATCACAGATTTTCATTAGAATGACAGAGACAAAGATTCTTTTTACAAATGCTTAGAATATAAGTAAAGGATAAAAAAAGAGGGTAATTTAGTATCTTCAGCACTTCCCAAATTCAAAATTAACCCTGTCTGATGTCTAGAAAGAACTTGCTCAGAAGCGCATAGATCAGACCCCTAAAGCTGTATCCTGGTGTCAGTTTTTGTGCTGGTCCCAGAATGTATTTCAATTTGAAAGAAAACAGGCATTATTTCTAGGTGCTCTTCAAGCAGAAGATAAGTGTTTAAAAAGTCTAGTTAATTTTTACTTGAAAGTTTTTGAATATTTAATTAAAACATTTCTTGACAGATATAATTTACTTCTCATTGATTTCAGTAATAAATATCTCACAATGACCTATATGATACAGAATGTTATTTGTGACAGTCTATTAGTTCCACATTCTTTCAACAAGTAACATGTAGTTTTACACAGGTCATTTTTGTCCATATAACTCTTGTAAGTGCTAGGTTTGCATGATTAAGTTTTCTTTTTAAGGTATATTTGTCCATGTGATAAAAATAATGTGATCCCTATTCTTTCCTAAGTTATGTTGTCTTCGAACAGTAAGCCTGTAATAATAAAGAAATAGCAAGCCTGCAAAGCCCAAGTCCGTGGGAAAAAGGGGAAGAGCTCTATTGAAGAAGTTCCCAAATGGCCTGAACAATATTTCAGTCTCAGTTGTAACTCTTTGATTACCTGGTCAGAACGCAGCTGCTTTTTGGCTCCCCCAGAGCACATAGGTGAGCTCCCATAACCAGTCATGTCTTCTCTGCAAAACTTTTTACAATATCGCCAAGCCCAGCTCTACAAGCTTCACTTCCCCCCTTCCTTGCTTTCCAATCTGTTTTGGTTTTTTTGTCTTTAGCATAAATAAAGACAAGATACTCCTGCCTAGTTAACACCTGCTCCCAATTCCCAATACAGAGCAAAAACTCTCCTGGAGGGAGCTTTTCCATATTTCTGTAATAGCAGACCCAACCCTTACCGTGGCAATAGCTGTACTCTTGAACAGATCTGAGAGAGAAACCCAAAGGAGTAATGATTTCTGTAGGCTTCTATAAATAGTAAGGGCAGGAAAATGAAATATCAGTGCTTGTTTTATTAGAAGCAAGGCAAAATTAACATTAAACCTAAAAATCTGAAAGGAAAACTTGTGCACGGTGAGTTTAAAAAAATAGTATGTTTATACATCTCATTGTAATGTTGGGTTCAGTTATTCAGCTGTGCTTTAAGAAATGAGTTGTAACTATTAGAGCCATAATTCTACTTCCAGTATAATCAAATTCCCTTCACTACAGAGACAAAACTAGCTGGGTGGACTGCTTGGCATTACTCAGAGTGCAGAAAGCCGACATTTTCAGCAAAAGAATCTAGTATTGGTTTTGCAGTCTCAATCCAGTTGGAGCTAATGTTTTAGTCTTTAAACTTTCTTTTTTTTGCCATTAGTGGAAAACACCACCCTTAATACTCCTGCAGTATCTTAAGTACTGTTAACATATTTCCATTGTCTCCATCTTAAATCCATACATTTCTAGGAGCATCCTGATTTTGGACACAGTTGTACCCATATCTCTGATACCCTTCGTTAACACTGAACGCACATAAGCAAAGATATGTTCCCTAGACACACGTTGACCAGGAAAAGGCCAACAGCATTAACTACTTTTTGGTATTTATAATTAATTTTTACCTTTTATTATAGTAGCTTAGACATCAAACTATCTAACATGAAGAAGGATTTCTTGTGTATAAAAGTTGTAGAAGTAAACCTACAGCCAACACGAAAATAAAAGTGACTGAGAACCATGATTCTTGGGAGTTCTGTAAGGAGACGTCTGCATTTATAGATATGACGACAGTGGTATAGGAAACTCGGACTTAACGCTGTTACTGACTCTGAAGCGTTTCAGTGATCACACAAATACTAATTAGTATGAGCTTCTCTTGTCTGCTATAGGCAACATGACCCTCACAGTGCATACAAATTATAATGGCATATTATAAGAATTACTGTCTATTTTTATTAAACCAATACAAAGGAAGGCTACAAAAAGAGCTGCCATTGACTCACAAGACAAGGTGCTTGTCACATGACCACAGAATTTTTAAGTCATTAAAATACACTTTGTTTTGGTTTTTACTTGGTACAGAGAATTCTGTGCATTGGCAACAAATGTCCTGCTAAATGAGGAAAAAAGGCTTGCCTTACTTCCAAATCAATTTAGTCCTTAAATAAGAAGATTCTTATATCAATGATCGTAACAACATTTACGTTTCCAAACTATTTAAGTATAATCCTTTATCTAAAAGGCTACCAACAGCAAAAGTAATAAAAAAAAAGATCTTAGCACCTATACCTGGGAAGCCAAGAGTAAACTACTGCTTGAAATGGAACAACTTAATTCATATGGATATACTGAAACACATCTACAGCTTGATCTTCCTGTATGGTCTGTCTCTGTATATCAGTTCACAGTAAAAGTCAGTCAAATCCATTTACTTTTACTTGTCCTTGTTTCAACGTTTATGTATGAGCCCGATGGTTGCTCAGAAGGTCTGTAGATTGTTTACCAAACCAAGATTCCTAATCTACATCAGCCTGAAAAATAAGCTGATTTTACATTATTTGAGATCACAGTGTTACAACTGAATATTAATTATAATGGGAGAAAGGATTTTAAAATTAAAAAACCTTTGAGTTGATTCATGCTCTGAAAATGAGTATTTATAGCACCTATCTCAATCTAACAATGTAAAAGCTACTATCTATAAGACTTCCCTTCCTGTGGTTTCTAATAACCATCTCTGTATAGGGTAAATCCCCCCTATAAATACACAAATAAATCACATGTCAATATGCTCTAATATGTAGTTCTGTGTCACCATGGAACTGCAAGTATATTTTCACATACAAATTCCTTTGCTACACTCCATTTTAAAGAATCAGCTTAACAAAAATCTGGTTTCCATCTGTTTCATAGATCAACACAGTCATTTGTCAATTGTCAACTTGTTCCCTTTTATCTAGCTATTGAAGATAATCTACCATATACCAGATAAAACAGCTTATTTTTTATAAGTCTGTTCTTACAGAGCCAGGCTCAGGGAGAAACAAAGAATTGATGTCTTTGTATTTCTTTCCATTACCATCACATAATTTATGGTAATAGCTTTTATACTAGAGAAACCCATAAAATTTATGTCCAATTCTGTTAAAGAAAAAATAAAGTATTATAATAAACCAAACAATAGGTACCCAAGACCTACACACCTCAAAATTCAAAATAATTTCCTGTTTTGGAATCCGAATCATGCCTTCTAACGGGTAAGAGCTGTCAATGCTGCCAGTGTACTTAAAGGATGCCCATCACACCATCTTCTCTGAACAACAACTACTCTTCTCAAACACAGATTTCCTAGACATCTTTAAAGTTTTAAAACCTATTTCATTATTTTATTAATTTATATATAGAAATATAAGCATATTATTTACATCTTATAGTTAACCTCAAAGTACATTATCACCTACATAAAAGTCACTTCTGTCTTCCTTCCAGATGTATTTAGGAGCAAGGATTATATTGTAGAAATATTTATCATTAAACTACAGCATTTCAGAGTTTAAGCAGTATGTTAATTTCTGAGTTTATACTGCAGGGTTTTTTTTTTTACCCATCTGAAAAGCAAAAGACTACAAGGAAAGCGCAAAGCTCACAGGATTATCTCCTTAACCTCAAATGAATATGGCTAAACTGGAACAGAGCGCATCAATGTTTTAATACTCAAGGTTTAGTATTT